GGGGGGGGGGGGGAATCTGACGGGAAGTTTCCTGTGTTGTCGCGAACGTGACCGGGAAATGGCTAAGTACCAAGTACCATTAGCAGCAGACCGAGATGCTTACAAACATGACGGCGATGATAAGCAGCTTTCCATCACAACATACCCGAATTCTACTGTTAGTCGACATAACTTAAAAACTTAAGACGAAAGAAGACGACGACGACGGCGACTCAAACTACATTACCACGACAAGGACCACGATCGCGACCACCACAAACACCACTACTCGTGCTATCTTTCGACTGCTGCTCCTGCTGCTACCACCACCACCACCACCACCACCACTCCTACTCCTCACTGAGCGAAGTTTGCGTTCAGGTTCGGGTGGACGGTGCCTTTCTTTGGGGGTCAGTGTTTGAGTTCCGGTGCGACTTCGAGTTTGTTGGGGGAGGGAAGGGTGAGAGTGGTGAGGGGGAGCAGAGCAGTGGGGCAGAACTGAGGGGTCCGGGGTGAGGTGTTTCGAGGTGCGAGTTCAAGTTCGGGTGGGAGTCTTTCGAGTTCGAGTTGGGCTGGGGGGCGGCAGTGAATTGAACGTCATGGAAGTCGTCTGCCTAATCAAGAAACCACATGCTGCACAGCACAACTAAGATCCGGAACCTAGGTTTCATTCATCCGACATGTTGAGGATCAGGCATGGTGTGCGGGGTTGCGGCGATAGTCTCGGGTTGCGACGTGTGGAAAGGATGTCAAAACTAGGACTTGGAGACAAGTTCGGGAGGGGACTCCGAGTGAGGTTCGGAGCAAGCTTGCTTGAGAACTCGCTGTTCGCTCGTGCGATGTTGCTCTGAGCTCCTCAATCACCTCTCTCTTCTGATGGTAGAATATGTACCTCAGGAAGGACGCGCCCTGCGTGGGATACCCTCAACCCTCACAAGACACGCTCAAACCGGCACTTCGTACATTCAAGGGCACCAGTCTTCTGGCCGTGGGGAACCTTGCTGATGACAGCTTGCGTAGATCGCCTGGCAACGAAGCAGCGAGCTTGTGCCAGAATGCTCGAGGTCTTTTGTCCTGAAGCTTTGCTGCTTCAGAACGCACTGGAGGGAGGGAGAGAGAGAGAGAGAAGCTAGCAAGCATACCCAGGGTTTAGGAGGGTAAGACGAGCCTTCCAAGGCTCACCGATTGCGCACTCCTGCAATGCTGGCCACGGCAAGTGAGCGACAGGGCCACTTGCAAGGGTGCATGCAGCTTTGGGCAGACGAACGCAACACAGAAGCTGGCAACGTTTGATAATGTAGAAGCTTCAGAACAATCAGACAGGCATTGCCGTGTGGAGTGGTGCCTAGTTCATACCTGATCCTGAATCAAACGTCAAGGTTCAAGACTCGCCAAAACTGCAGCGAACCATGCGACCACTAACCGAGAGGCGGCTGCGCGCTCAGACCAACTGGTGTGGCAGGATCTACCACGGAACTGCCAGCTGGAGTGAAAGTGTCGACCGACTTACCATTGGCATAGGAGTAGTAAAGAGTGGAACCTGGAAAGTACAAACTAGCTGCGATGTCTGTCACGGAGGTGCAGGTGCACGGGTTCACATAGCACCACGGGCTGGGACAACAACTTGCTGGGCACCTGGCGTCCCATGACATCTCGCACTGGTCTGCCCACATCTTGCCTGTGTCCTAATCGAAGCAGCTGGAGCGGAAGAGCTCCGCGTGGATTCCGCAACTACCCCCAAAGTTTGCTGTCAGTAAACCACTGCTGGCAGTTGCACACTTGCCAGCACCCTGCTCACAAGAGGCATCCGTGGAGCTGATAAGGTACATGTCAGCCAGAGGGATGCACTCACAGCCTTCCTGCAGGGCACTTGTGAAGGGCCAGTTCATCGGGCTGATCGCTGGTTGGGGGCGGACTGGGACAGCCCACGCTGTCAGTGACAGTGACGGTCACAGCAGAGGCATTCTCGGTGTAAGTGTCTGTGGCCCCGCACACGCTGTAACTGTAGTAGAGCTCGAGGTCGAAGTAGGTCGTCAAGGCCATGTCGTTCGCCGTGCACTCACATGGGTTCTCGTACGACCAAGGTTTGGTGCACCAATCCGCACTCTCAGTTAGTGGCAACGAGATCATGGAATCGGAGCAGGAAGTTGACCCTGGCTCACAGGCTCACGGTGCACACCACATCCCTCACCATAAGTGGGCGGGTAATGAGTGGCTGCTTGCCTTCTTTGGCAAAAGAAGCTGTGCACAAGACTTTCTCCTGGCCACTGGACATTTTCAACTGGCACGTGCCATGGCACAGCCGGCATCAACATTCTGGTGGGTTCTGATGGTGAAAGATGGTGAAAGTCTCCACTCCCCCGCAGTTCGAGCAGGAACAATAAAGTTTGTAGCCTGGTGAGTGCCAGATCTGCCACAGGGCACGTGCAAGAATCCACGTAGCAACATGGGTCGTTGCACAAAGCAGCCTGCTGCGATGCAGGAAGTTCCTCACCAGTTGTCAGGTTAAAGCAGGACGACGAACCGGGCTCCGAATGTTTTCCACACTAGTTGCCGTAGTTCGCCGGGCAGTTCACAATCTTCCCTGAGACGTTCGCCTCGACCTTGGCCTCACCACCCACCATCTGCACTGCGACGCTGTGCGGGATGATGCGAGATGCGCGTGCAGCCCGGAGCGGCCACGCTGAAGGACCAAGCGTGACTGCTAATCAAAGAGAGAATCAGGCTCAGCAGCTTCGTCATGACCACAATTCGTCTACCAGGTACCACTTCACGGCAGCTCGAGCTTGCAAACTGCGAAACACGAGATGAATCTGCGGTCAACTGGAGTGAACAAGAAAAATCGGAACGCACACGGGCGGCCTGGGGGTCAGTCACCCACTTCCGTGCTCGCACTGCACCGATGATCCTCCAAGGAGTGGTGGCGACCCATTTAGGGGCTGCTGCTGTTGGATTGTTCTGTCATCGTCCGCCCCTAAAGCACAGCTCTAAGTCATGGTATCAACCCACCTCAGTAGCATCGCTATTGCAGCAGTGCGTCTGGTGCTCTCTGAACACGCGGCCAGGAAAAGGAGCAGCCACCGTAGGGTCCTGCCGAATATCTTCAGTCATGGTAAGCACCTTTCGCTCTGTAGCAGACGAACGACTGTCGACTACGAACATGCAGTCCTCCCCATAGTTCTCTCCATACTGATACTGACGCACGAAGGAGAACAAGTCGTGCCTGAAAGGTCGTACATGCGGATGCTGTGCTTGCATGGGCCTCTGCCATCACATGGACATGTACAGCTGACAGCCCATACAGTTTCGGGCTTGCTAAACACAAGATGCTGGCCGCAACCAATTAGCAACAGCACATGTCGTCGTACGACTCTCATGCTCCTAAGTTCAAACATAATTTCTGACCTCGGACCGCTGTCTGATGTTATTGCAAGACTGCCGCTGAGCACAGGCCCTTGGAGGTACTGCTGTCAGACTCAACCTAGATGGAAGAGTCGTTGCCTGAAGATGTTTCGCACGAAGCCACGTTCTATCCATATCCAGAATGTCTCGCGGTCGACCATGTCGTAAGCCAGAAAATCACCTCTGGCTCCGTCTGCACGCAAGCGAAGTGTTGTTCCGAAGTCTAGTCCAACTATTAGTTTATCGGCATGACTGGCGAGACAAGGTCTCATCCAGACTTTGAGCCCTGTGATTTGCTGAGAGTTTTTGGAACCACCGGGCTGATATTCTAGCCTTGAGCGTTTGCGTTCCGACACTGACTGCGGTCAGTGTGCGGAATGTCCCATTCTGGGACGAAACGCTGCAGGTAACAAACTGACCCGTTGGCCATCGTCTAGACACAAAGCTAGGACCGAGTTGCACACATAAATCATGAAGGTTTGTGGGGCGCAAAATATCCTTACAGTCATTGCTCCTCTGTGTCCATGCAGGCACCGCTACCGCACTCGATCCAAAGAACAGTTTTACATATTCAGAATGAGGCACTCCCGATCTTCATGATCAAAGCATCAATGTCACGTCAAGCCATAAACAATCTGAGAATTGCCTGCGAGGGGCCAAAACCCAAACCAAGATCGTAGACCTGGGAAATCCTGCGGTGCAGAGGGGGGAGCAAGAGTAGTCGGCTAACACTGCACGCGCCCAGCAAGTGAGCGATACGTAACAGCGAAGGACACGTGGCATGGGATGCTGGAGAAATTGATACCTCAGGTTTGGTTACACGTGCTATAACAACAGTGTCGGCATATTTCGATTCCTGCGTTTCATATCGTTCCATTCAAAATCTTCGTTGCCCATCCCTGTGCTGAGATAAGGCACAGCGTCTTGCAGTTTGAGATACATGACTCTTTGAGTGCTTGCTAGCCCGGCTGCTTGGGCTGCACAGGGCCCAGACTTCAAGGTCTGCAGGCCTGAAGGCCTCGAACACACCCAGGTGGACTGCCGAAGCAAGCACAAAGGCGAAGAAGAGAAGAAGTGTTTCTGGCAAAGACCAAAGATTGCTCTTCTTGTCCTCGGCTCGAATTGCACTGAGAAAGGTTGCAGCACACTGTCATGGGCTGCAAATCACAGAAAAAGAATGAAAAAAACAGGTGGCGTACTCAAACTTCAGCCAATCCAGAAGCTCCGTCAAAGAACATTCCGTTGACTTGTGGTCCTGCAGTTGTGTATTCACCATTCTTCACCATCTGTGCATTTATGCCTGGACCCGCTATATGCCGGCTGCATGCTGCGGCTCCTTCTCCTGGCCGAACAACGTCTTCCTAAGCTCACAGGCAGGACTCAAAAGCCGCAATCCTTCTGCTTGGGTCTCCCACCATCGAAAAGCTCTGATCATGGTCGCATTCATAGGACTTACACCTGAAGCCTATTTGCAGGGCTCTTTGCGATGCCACGCACAAGCAAAATAAATACTAGTTCTACGGCTTGGAGTCTTCACCAATGTGAATGCGACATTCCCGCGCGTGAGCCCTCTATGGACGTCTTCCACGGTGACCTCCGAACAACGTCAGGCCGGAAGCATCACAAATGCCATGCCATGGAGGTTCTTTTTACTGGCAGCTTCCACAGCAATGCCATACCTTGTTCAGGACATCATGCGTGGCGGATTTGCATGACATCTTGCAAATTCCGAGAATGGCACTTGCCAGGCCTCCCCTATCCCTTCCGCATCGGAGTCCTGGATCCACTCCTTCACATCTTGGGCTGTTAAACCAAGGCCGTCCTTGGAGAACGGAAAAGCGGTTGAGAGTCAAACCAAGACAAACCGCAGCTGGTTCCTGCAATCTCGACAGCTTCTGGTTCGGTCGCACCACAAGCACCCGCTTTGAGGCATGGCCACGTGGCAGCAGCAAGATCATGGCAGCATCAAACACAAGTGCGGCCATTGCTGCTTGTGAGTCTTGACAAAAAGGAGCTAGGTTGTGCCCAGCATCTAGGACGCAGAGCTTCACAAGCTCGCGTGTGTCGAGGGTTCCGTACACGCCAAAAGCATAGAACAGCCTTGGAAGCATTGGACTTGAACCCTGCTTGAACGGGATTGCAGCTGTCACGTATCAAAGCAAACTACGCAGACCCAAAGAGTCTTTCGACACTGAAATAATATCCAACAGCCATTCTCCATCCAGCAGCTCTTGCACGTCATCAACGGTTATAAGATGCACATTGCCTGGCCAGGGAGAAGCTGTGGGAAGCATAAGACAGCACTTACGGCGCTTGCGGCCGTTCGACCCCGGCCTTCCCTCACTTTCTCCCAGACTGCGCACAGCTGGACTTTATCTTTGAAAGTCTCCACCGGAAGCATCGCGGCCGTGCCACAGCATTTTTGGAGCGACGAGCTGGTGCAGGCGTTGCAGGGACTTGGGTTTAGCGTGTTGCGCTTTGTTTGTCACGGAAAGCATGGGTGTTCAGCCAGTCTTGAGTCAGACTCCAACACAAACTCAGTGGATCATGTTCTAATCATGTCCAACTCGCCTCCCCAGAAGGAAGTTCGACCGAAAGGGCGACGGCAAAGCTTGCCATGTCCTAAATGCTGCGAACAGTCGACTCGCTTCATGTAAGCCTTGGTCTACTTCTGGCAAAGGCTTGGATGCATTATGGCCAGTGGCAGAGGTCCATACGGACCCTGGCTTTTCAGGGGCCGGGCCTTTCAGGTCCTCGGCCTCCGTGTGCAAGCAAAAGGCTTGTACAGTAGCAAAAAGACTTGGAAAGCTTGCAGAGTCCCTCTGCACGGCTTCCAAGAAACTCAATGCAGCGCTATGTTTGGAGGGCGATGTGATTCTATCGTCTTATTGAAACCGGGTGTAGAGTGATTAAGAAACTAAGGGGACAGAGCTGTCTCTCCCTGAAACAGCCACAGAAAGGACCCTTTAAGATGAACTTGCCAGCACACTCCCGAAGAGGCACAAAGATATCTTCCCGACATACGGACACAAAGCATGCCGATGATGAGTTCGGAGCTGAAAGGGTTTACGGCCTCCAAGGGCCAAACCTTCAACACGAAGCGTGCTACACGTCTTGGACGGCAAGTCAAGCCTCACTGAATTCCGTGATCGAACCGTCCAATGCCAGGGGCTTCGCATGGCCGTTTGCCGCTAGCTGAGCATGCCGGGTTCGGCGGGTCCTTGCTTGGTGCATCGTCCTGCAACCAAAAGCACTCCCGGAAGTCGCCTTCTCATGCAGAGAATTCTGTTGGCTGCGAGCCTCAACCTGCGCGAGTCAATGTCGTCGTCCTCCTCCAGCTCGCCATCAGCATTCCTCCTTGGAGCCAACTCTTTGCATCTGGTGCTGTGCATGAAGAGGCCCGGAAGTGGTCGACAGGACTGAAGAAATTGTGCAGAATTCGTGCAAAGTAGCTCCACCGGATCGGCAAGGAGCTCGCATCGACTGGCCTGTGTTTGTGCACTGAAGTTACTTGGTGGGGAGTCTTGCTCGAGTCTTTCTGTGCAAGCAAGTGTTCACATTGAAGTTCACATCACTAGGCTCCCTCGGTCGGTGCTCAAGGTCCGAACTCAGCTTCTGACGGTGCGTGACATAGAGAAAGAGAAGAAAGACTGCTGCGGTGCCGTGACCGATCAAAGAGGTCGCTTCCCAGATGCCAACTGCAGAACGCAAAGGCATCTGAACAAAGGAAGCCTCAGCTGGAGAGAATAGAACTGAGCCTAGTCATCACAGACAGGGGAGGTGCGAGGGGATCAAGGGAACTCTGAAAAGGCCCACGCGGAGAATTTCAGGGATATCCTTCCGCCCGGAGTTGCATTTCGGACTCGTCATGTTTGAAAGAACAGTCCTGTTTGCCTGGAAGGTTTCGCATGTCCTGGCGCTGTGGCCATTCCTTGCGAACAAGTCGGAAATGCTCACTGTGACCACTGTCCACTTTTTGGACTCGCAAGTGACTTGGTGCTTCAGCTGTGAAATGCTCTGCATTGCCAGAAGCTTCGCACCGGAGCTTTGGCTTTAGAACTTTTCTTGGGCTACAAAAATCTAAGGCAGGGGTCTCCACCGCTGGGGGAGCCTTGCACAAACTTTACTTACCCAGACCCTCCATCTACCCTCCTTTTGACATCAAGTTAAACCCTACTCTTAAAACCATGGACCAAAAAAGTCAGCCCCGCTTGAAGGCATAGGGAAGGCGCGGGTACCTTGCTATATCATGTAACTGTGCCGCAGCCGTGTTACCTACCACACGGCCTTCTCTCCGTCGGCCCTTTCTTGATGTTCAAAAAAGCACCCAGCCAGTCCCTAAATCTTAAATGGTGAAGTTCTGAGTACGAGTATAGACATCAAAACGATAGCCGAGTCATGATTTGAGAGCCGACGAACGTCGGCCGCAGCGACTCGCATCCCACCACCGCTACGAAACAACTTCAAAAATTCGGCTTGCGCTGAAGCTGGGCAATCATCGTCAAGGTTCGTTTCCAAACATTTTCTGAACAGGTCAACTCTGTGAGGACTTCCTTCTGCAAGTGCGTATGTGTCGCATGCAGCTTGGTGAGAAAGGGCTCAATGCTCAGCTGCGGCATGTCTTTCTTCGACACGCATTGGTCACGAATGACCTGATCAACCATCCTAAGTCTGCAGCGCCGTCCTTGCCGAGGAAGGAAGGCATGGCAGGTACACAAGACCTCTTCCTGAAGGAGGGAATCGAGCTTGCGGAACTTCCGCGTCCCATCATCGCACCAAAGAGTTGCGCAGACGCGCCCAGGCTGCAACGGAGTGATGGATGGCAACGAGGCTCGCCGTGTTGCTCAGTTCCTTGGCCTCATGCACTGGGTCCACAAAGTCAGGGTAGGCAAGAGCACGTCCAAGTTCGGCTAAGGACCATTGCAGGGCCGTGGCATCAGACGTCATCTTTGTAGCGTTGGAGTTGGAGGTCGTGCCGCCAGGCAACTGCGATTCGGAATGCGACCACGTCTTCGAAAGAGCGTCGTTGACGATGAAGGGCACTTCCGTCAAGCTCGGGTAGAAATTCTGCGCACTGAGGTCCACGAGACGGCCCATGTTCATGAGAACGGCCTGCATGTGATCATCTTCAACATTGCCGCACACATTCCTGGCGAACTTCTCCCAGCTATAGTAGTTCGCCATGACCCCAGCAACAACATCAGATTGTACCTGAGCGAGGGCAGCGCTTACGAAACCGAGTACTGACATGTGAGAGGTGTATCGATGTTGGTAGTGCGCCTCAACTCTCCACACCTCTTATACATGAAGCACGGGTGTCGGTTTGGGGATGTGGCGCCGGGCCCACACAAAATTGAGCTTTGTCCTCCTATAATCAAGAGGCCCCGAATCCTGCTAGTCGCGCACCTTGTAGTAGGCATTCCGAAGTTGACTCAGCCGCGTGTTGTCGCTGTTGACAATGACCGCCAAGTAGTCCATGATGACCTGCGTGTCCAACATCGTGCGGAAACGACCCATAGCTTGCCACACCACTCTGTCACGCATCAACAGCTTGGAGTCCTTGAAAGCCTTGTGCATCTTGTCCCTGTCAACAAAACCGACCAACCTCCCGATGGACATCAGGCCCGCACCCAACCGCTCGAGCTGCATCCACGCTTCGTGAGCGTAAGCCACTGCGGTATGTGCCGCTTGCAAACTTTTGATTAGGTCGTCGCGTACCACCATGAGCAAGCGGTCGCTTTTATTGCAAGTGGTTATGCGCTGGAGCGCGATGCTGAGCTCGGGCGACAAGCTCATGCTGGAAAGTCGTGGGAGCTGCTTCTCAACCGCCCGATGACCACAGACACATGATATGCGATGGGATCACTGCAGTAAGCGACTGTACCAACTTGTCATTGAATGGTCCTGGAGCCATCAGTGCCACAGCATCTCTTGCATCTGAGTTTATCAAGTTGTATTTAAGCCATTTTATCAACCTCCGTCAGCCAGCGATGGGACCCAATAGACTCCACCTTTGAAGGCTGAACGCGGACTGAGGCCTCAACCCCTGCCTGCCTCCCTTTCCCCCCCCCCCTTATCCCCCCCCTTCCCCCCCCTCCCTCCCCCCTCCCCCCCCCTCTCCGTCGCCCTCCCACCGAAAACTGCTTAAAACTCGAAGACTGCAGTCGCCGCATGAAGACCTACACCCCAACCGCA